CACCAAATAAATATCCTCGGGAAGTAGGTTAGAGACAAAGGAAATTACTCTAGTCTTCTTGAAGGCCCCAAGACAAGAAAGGCATCATCATAACACAAGAGATACTGCAAGAGGGAAAGTCAACTTCTCTCTCAACAGCAAAACTTGTTTCTTCTCCTGCCAAGAGAGGATCACCCACATTAACAAAGTCCCCTTCCCCATGCAGCCACAGCCACTTCAAAGCAGCAGAAGCCTAATCACAAAGCATAAGAAAATAAAAGACCCAATTAACAAAACACAAACCTCCAATAATCCAAGGGAGAATGGAGGCGGAAGTCTCTGTTTTTGACAAACTGACTTACACAGAAAGTGCTGCCCAGGAGCTGGGCTCCCACCAAAGCAGGTGCAGGCTGAGGTGCAATGGCAGCTTGGGCAGCCAGGCCGCTGACACGTGACCTGGAGCCGGCTTCTGACCTCTGCAGCCTCCTTTCTGTGGGCGGCACCCTGAGTATAGAGGGAAACACCCCCTCGGGGTCTGGCTGGCAGGATGCCGTGAGATAATCAAGGGTCCAGAACAGCATCCGGACGGGAGATGCTCCCCAGGCACCATGCCCCTCCTCCGGCCCTCCACAGGGCATTCCTGTATCTGTACCCCCAGAGCCACACTCTCCCTCCTGGCAGTGTCCCCCTCCTGCCTCCAGTGGCCCTAGACCTCTGTCCCAGGTCCTCTCCTCAGACTCTTTAAAAGCACCCGAAGGATCGCCCAGCTGAAAACGCACCTGCCCTCCCCTGACAGGAGGCTCCCCAAGCTCCTGAGCTCTGGGCCCCGCGGACTCTGCAGCTCAGCTGCACACCTGCCCACACCCGAAGCACTGAACTTCTGGGTTGTTTTATGAAATCTGCCAATTTTTAAATGCTGGCAATGAATTTTTAAAAAAAGACTTTTGGGCATCCCTGGTGGCACAGTGATTGAGAGTCCGCCTGCCGATGCAGGGGACGCGGGTTAGTGCCCTGGTCTGGGAGGATCCCACGTGCCGCGGAGCGGCTGGGCCCGTGAGCCATGGCCGCTGAGCCTGCACGTCCGGAGCCTGTGCTCCGCAATGGGAGAGGCCACAACAGTGAGAGGCCCGCCTACCGCAAAAAAAAAAAAAAAAAAAAGACTTTAGCAGACTTCCCTGGTGGCGCAGTAGTTAAGAATCCGCCTGCCAATGCAGGGGACACGGGTTCAAGCCCTTGTCCGGGAAGATCCCACATGCCGCGCTGCAACTAAGCCTGTGCGCTACAACTACTGAGCCTGCGTGCTGCAGCTACTGAAGCCCGCACACCTAGAGCCCGTGCTCAGCAACAAGAGAAGCCACTGCAGTGAGAAGCCTGCGCACCACAACAAAGAGTAGCCCTCACTCGCCACAACTAGAGAAAGCCCATGCACAGCAATGAAGACCCAATGCAGCCAAGAATAAATTAATTAAATCAATTTAAAAAATAAAATGAAATAAAAGAAGACTTTAGCATATGGGCCATCAAAACATATCTGCACAACACCCTAGTGTGGGATGAGACCCTCCCAGGGGTGGACAGACAGGATGAGTCGCCTCCTGTCGGCACTAAGGACAGGAGTGGGCAGGTCTAGGAAAAGGTCAGGAGGTGCCCTAAAGGCCTTCCAGAAACAAGCAAATGGCACTTCCTACACACCCACCACAGCCTAAATAATGTGTTGGGTACATTTAATCCTCTCAAAATATGTTCATTTATTTAATTCAACTCAATTATTTAATTCAAATATTACTGAGTAAAGATAATCCACAGAATGGGAGAAAATATTTGCAAATCATATACCTAATAAAGGACTGGTATTCAGAATACATAACAACTTACAACCTTACATAACAACTAACAACCCTTACAACTCAATAATAAAAGCCAAATAGCCCAACTAAAAACAAGGGCATAGGATCTGAATACACAGTTCTCCAAAGAAGATATACAAATGGCACAAGAAAATATCAGGGAAATGAAAGTTACAGCGACAATGAGATATCACATCACACGCACTAGAACAGGTACAAATCAAAAAGGCAGCAACAAGTGCTGGCAAGGCAGTGAAGACATCAGACCCTCCTACACTGCTGGTAGGAAGCAAAGCAGTGCAGCTGTTGTGGAAAACAGTCTGGCAGTTCCTCAAAAAGCAGACACAGGGTTACCCTCTGAGCCACCAATTCCACTCCTACGGATAAACCCAAGAGAATGGAAACATGCGTCCACACAGAGACTTGAACACAAACGTCCACGGCAGGATTATTCATAAGAGTCAAAAAGTGAAAACAACCCAAATGTCCTTCAACTGATAACGGATTTTTAAAAAGTGATCCATCAATATAATGGATACTCTTTGGCCATAAAAAAGGAATGATGGGGGAAGGGAAAGGGGAGTTTAATGGGCACAGAGTTTGGCTTTTGTAAGATAAAAAGAGTTCTAGAGATGGAGGTCACTGAACTATAAACTTAAAAATGGTTAAGATGGTACATTTTATGAAATATGTGCTTTACCACAATTAAAAATAATAGATTTTTAAAAAAGGAATGAAGTATAGGTCATGCTATACCATGGATGAACCTTGGAAGCCAGACACAGAAGGCCACATATTGTATGATTCCATTTATACGAAATGTCCAGAATGGGCACATGGGCAGAGACACTGAGTAGATTAGAGGTTGCCAGGCCTGGGGTCAGGGAGAAGGTGCAGGACTGCTAATGGCTGTGGGGTTTCTTTTCGCAGTGATGGAGCTTAGACTGTGGCAATGGCTATACAACTCTGTGAAGAGGATGAAAACACTTAAGCGTGCACTTGAAATGGGCAAATTTTATGGAATGTGAATTATATCTCAATACAAATGTTTAAAAACAGCCTTGACTGTCCACTCTGTGCCTGGCCCTGGCCTGGCCCTAGAGCCACACAGAGGCCTCCAGGCTAACGGGAACAACAGGTAGAATGCCTCCTGGTCACCTCAGGTGACCCAGAGCTCCAGAGACTGTCATCTCTGTCACCCTCTGCAGCACGGCCTCGAAGGCCTGCTGGTCAGACAGAGACTCGGGCCCAGCCTGGTCCAGGCCCTGGCCGATGCAAGGATGAGAGAGCGGGGAATAGGTCTCAGGGCTTAATTTACCGGTTGGTTCCTGGGGCGCCTGCCCAAATCTTATTCCAACCTGGATGGAGTGATTCTGAAGAAAAACCCAAGAGCCACAAAGGCGATGCTAAGTGAAAAGTTTAAAAGCAATTTATTTTAAATGATTACAGCTTTACCAAAAGCTGTGGCTATGATTTCCTTCTGACTTTGATTATAACCTTCCAGCAAAATATTCGTCTCATCAAGGCAAGTCTGCATTATTTTCTATTCTTAGCATGACTGCAAAATATTCTTTGATTTAACATTTGATATGTTTTGTTCTCAAGGGCAAGCCCCACGAGAAGAAAAATGTACCTCAACAGAATGAAATATGACTACCTGCTTCCACTTTTCTTTCTTGTTGGTTCTTGCTCAAATATTCTGCATTCATTTAAACTCAAGGCCGCGTCTCTGATGTTATGCTCCTCCCACACTGTTACCCAAACCCAAGCAGTCACCCACTATCCAGGGGCAGAGAAATTGCCGCAGACGGAGCTGGACTTGCATTTCCTGGAGACGCTGAGGGTGCTGAGCTTGGAAGGAGAGGAGGTCCTGGCCAGGTGTGCACTGAGGAAAAGGAAATGAAGACCCAACAGATTCTAGGAGCTAAAGAAGCTAGGGCTAAAGAAGCATTTCCACTTACATCAACGCCTTTAAATATGCCTCAATATTTTAGGACAAACGTATGATACCATAACATAACACAATGCATTTCTGTTTTTGTTCTTGTTTGTTTGTTTTGTTTTTTTGCCGTACGTGGGCCTCTCACTGTTGTGGCCTCTCCTGTTGCGGAGCACAGGCTCCGGATGCGCAGGCTCAGCGGCCATGGCTCACGGGCCCAGCCACTCCGCGGCATGTGGGATCTTCCTGGACCGGGGCACGAACCCATGTCCCCTGCATCGGCAGGCAGACTCTCAACCACTGCGCCACCAGGGAGGCCCAACACAATGCATTTCTGGACAGATTCATTAAAAGACTAGGGGCTAAGAAAACCAGAGTGTCTTTTTTTGTTTGTTTGGTTGGTTTTGCATCAGAAAAACACCCATATTCCTGGGGTGGTCAGGCCTCCGGTTTGTCGTTTCTGCTTGGGCCACACCACCTGCTGGGGACTAAGCGCAGATACCCAAACAGCAGTGTAAAAACCTGGTGGAAAACACACGGTCGTTCGCACATGAACCTGTCTCATGGGTCCAAAGAGAGCATCTCAGACAGACTGCAGGCGCACTCTTGGATAAAACGGCCCAAGGGACCATGCTTCTCCATGTTGTCACACGAGCACAGAGAGCTGGAAAAACAGAGAAGGGGAAGTAGCTTAAGTGTCATAAAGAATGCTCCCTCCCAGAGACAGGCACCCCCAGGGCTGCTGACTGACCTCCAAAGCTAGGAGCCCTGAGTCACACTTGCAAGGCTGTGGTAGATCAGCTGCTCCAGCCAGGGGGGTCCAGAGAGGGCCCAAACCTCGCAGGAAGCACCGCTTAAACGGAGGGGCGTGGGGGGCGCACAGGAGGCTAGCGATCAGGGTGACAGTCATGGCAAAAGAGCTGCTGTTCATTAAACACAGGAACAAAAGACTGGGAGACAATGCACTGTTAATCGTGGCAGCCACCAGAGGACTATAAATTGCCAAGCCAAGATACCAGCATTTTTCAGACCTCTTCCTTCCTGCCAGAGTGAGATTGAGGATGGGTCCAAGTCCCTCACCCCCACCCAAGTCTTTAAAACATACATTACTGAATCTTTTTGAAGTTCTAACCCTGAAAGATTTATACTCTAAAACACATCAGAGAAAAATACTGCCCAGAAACACCATCAGAGGGCCTGGAGCAGATGGGCACCCTTGTCCACTCACACTGAGAATGCCCGTGCTCCAAGGGCAGATCAGCGTGGGTTCAAACTAGCTCTTCTAGATCTGTGTTCCCTAACCTCCCTGAGCCTCTGCCTTTGCATCTGTCCCATGGGAGTATCACCTCTTACCTCCCAGGATTGCTATGAGGGTTAAACAAACAAAAAAAGTCACAATGCTGGCACTAAATACATGCTAAGTCCTGTTGTCACTATTAACCCCCAGCACCACTTAGGAGTTTTATCTATGGCCACAGGGATCAAGGAGATAAAACCCAATTTTCTCTAAGTTAAAAAATAATCTTTTTGTACATGAAAGTATTTTGGGGGAGCGATGGAATTAAAGAGAGCTGGCTTTAAGATACACTAAGCTTTAGAGGTATCATCATGGAACTCAGACAGTCACTCTAATTTCCTTCTGCTTCGGATAGGGCATTTAGCAAGGGGTCTGAACCACTCCCAGTGAGCTGGGAACTGCAGCGGCAGCCCCGCCTCCCAGCAATCTGGGCACAGGTGCGCTGCCAGCTGGAGTCCCTGCTCAGCCACCTTGCCTCTTTCTAAAGCTCCGGCCTCATCACATCACAAACCTACTTTAAAAGCATTCCAAGGCCCTTAGAAGAAATCTGCACCGAGGGCCCGATCTAAGCCCCACTCACCACTCTACATGATCCCGCCTTCACCTTCCACACCTCTCCCCACTCACCAGGCCCATTTCCAGCTGCTAAATGCTGGCAGCTACCCCTGGCTCTGAACAGACAAGACAGCAGGCTCATGCCTCAGAGCCCCACCCAGGCTGTGCCGCCACCGGGCAAGCTTTCCTTTCTCCACCATGTCCCGCAAAGCAAGTCACCCCTGTGCAAAGAGCCCTAATGAGTCACTCTGCACACCGCACAGCACTCTTCCCCTGGCTCTGCTGTCAGCCCCCAGAAGGGCCCTGCTGGTGACTTTCGACCCGCCCCCCAACCCCGGCTTCATTCATTTGGGACTTCCGAGTGCCTCCTACATGCCAGGCTCTGGCCCAATTCCTGCTATGCTCTTGTGGAGGACAGAGGCCATCAACAAGCACATCAAGCATATCAGACAGCACCAAGGGCTAGCAGGAAACAACACACGGACATGAGGAAGTATGACGGTAGAGAACTGGGGACACTTTAGGCCAGTAGGTCAGAGGAGGCCTCTCCAAGGAGGTGACACTCGAGCTGAGACTTAAATGAGGAGGGCACAGCAGGTGCAACACTGGCCCATCCAATAAGTAGGAGAAGGCCAGTGTGACTGGAGGTCAGGAGCCATGGATGAGCCTCAGGGGAGGGCAGAGGCCAGATCGTGGGTCACTGCGAGGGCAATGAGCGCCCGGACAGTCTTCAGCTGACGGCTGACCTGATCTGAAGACATCCATAAAAGGAGCAGACTGTCCACCATGTGGGGGGGTCAGCAGAGGGAGGAGGGGAGGGCCCATAGTCTGGAGAGGAAGGACAAGTAAAGACACACGTGGCCTCTGTGACATGAGGATAACGAAGGGGATTCACCAGACCCGGGTCAGGGGCGGCAGAGCAGGTTCCAATGCCTGCCCAGGGAACTTGACTTTCCAAGCTTCAGTTTTCTCATCAGAAGAGTGGGGCCCATGCCCCCCTACACCCCCATCACTCAGCGTTATCGCACAGACACAAGTTTGTAGCCACAGGCGTGGACCCGGGCAGGCACTCAGATGCAGCTCCTTTCCCCCCAAAAGAAAAAAGCCACTTTTTCTTCTCACTTCCCTGAGTGGAGGGTGGTAATCTCATCTATTGAAGGAAGAAGAGTAGCAGCCCTGGTCCCACCACTGCAATGTGCTCAGGTCACATGTTAACACCTGTAAGAAGACAAGGAGAGTCTCCTCTCAGGGGCGAGAGAAACATAAGAGCTGCAATGTTCGTACAACAGGAGAGAAATCCCTCTTCATTTCTTCAACAATTTACAGTCTAAACCAAGGACTTGTCAAATGCTTGGAGGCGTTATAATTTGGTGCCTGAAACCTTCTGTCCTATGAAGAAACACCACAAACATACACGTGATAGGGGAGGGCAGAGTACAGTGACCCGGGAAGTGGCAGCTTTGGAGTCAAGCAGAGCCCTGGGTCGGCCACTTCCTAGCAGCCTCCCCGAGTCCCAAGTCCCTCGATGGCTGAACAGTAACCACCACACTCCCTGAAGCGTTTGCCCGGGAAGTGGCAAACGTGCAAGAAAAGCAAAGCCAGTTGAGATCTGCCAGAGTGTGGACAGTCCAGAATCACATCCGAGGTCACAAGGTCAGTGAGGGAGAAAGCCAGGCCTCACCACAGACTCCAGAAGCATGTCCTTCACTCCCTACACCTATCACAAGAAAAGACCAACAATCTGCCTTCCCATTTTTTAACCTCCAACCTACACTGGCTCAGAGAACATGTCCTAAAATGTACCTGGACGTGACCAAACAGAAATCAGTTACAATGGGAGGGGAAAGCAGAGAGGATCGCGAGCCCCTTCACATGCATCTGTGGCTGGAGCACGGCTGGAGTAGAAGGTGTGAGGCAGGGGACCGGAGCAGGTTCCTGCTCCTCTAAGAGCCTCCGGTTCCTCTCCTGAAAATGGGGAAATTATCTCAGACTGTCCGCAGCATGGACCAGATGGGAGGTGACAAGATGAAAGTACTCAACACTCATCATACAGCAGGGCCCGCTATGCCCAGCGCGTGACCAGTGCAGCTGCCCACCAGCAGGCCGATAAAACCATCTGACCAAGAAGTGTTCCTATACGTGCTCGTGGGTGCAGAGAATGCCACCGGAAGGGACTGGAGGAAGTGGAAAGCAGGGAGGTACCAGGTCCCTGAGTCAGCAGTGAGGAGTCTCTGAACTATATATACACCCTTTGTGCCATGTGCTACCATTTTTCTGTATAAACAAAACACCTGTCCATGGAGTCAAGTATACTGAAATGGATGTGGAAAAGTAATCCACAGAGGTGTACTTGTGGCTTCCTCTGGCGAGATGGGAGGGGTAATTAGGGGCCTTCTGCCTGGTTTGTAACGTTCTATTTCTTCAGAAGTAGAATGTATTCATGTACTACTTGTATAATTAAAATTAATTAAATGGTACATCTCAGGAAGGCTTTTGGGCAGTACCCACCACGACTCTCTGCCCCAGCATCTCAGTTCTAGGGTCTTTCCTTACAGACACACTAGCACACCCACCAAAGACGTCTGTTCTATAAAACTCACTGAAGCATCGTTAGCAAAAATGAGTAACGACATAAATGTCCATCATTAAGACATTCAGAAAACGGTGGTGCAAGTGTACAACGGAATTTCATGTGACCTTTAAAAAGAATGATGTTGCTTTATATGTATGAATGGGCAGGCCTGAGTATTGAGTGAAGTACTCAATCGAGTGGTGCTACCATTTTGTGAAAAAAAAAAAAAAAAAAAAGAACGAGAAAAGGAGGGGTCGACATATACACAGGAACGCTGCCTGCACACGGAGTTCCTCCGAAATGGCACAGGAGGGGACAGCGGCTGACTCCGGAGATGGGCAGCAGGAGACCAAAGGACAGCGAGTGGACGCCTTCTGGGCACTTTCAGGGTCTCTGCGTTTCCCTAACCTGTGCGTGTATTACGAACGCATGTGGTTAAAAAAAAAAAAACCAAAACACTTTCGCTGTTTTCGGGGCGGCGCGAGAGGCTTCCCGGCGGGCGCCCCCGCCCCGGCGCGTCCGAGCCCCGCACCCCCCGCCCGCCCGCGCTCACCACCGATGATGGTCCGGATGAGGGAGGCGTGCCCGGGGCAGTCGACCAGCGTGACCTGCAGCCGCGGCTCGGCCCCGGGCTCGGGCTCGGGCTCGGCCCCCAGCGGCGCCGGCCGCAGGCGCCCGGGCGGCGGCACAGAGAAGCACGAGAAGCCCAGGTCGAGCGTGATGCTGCGCTCGCGGCTGCTTGTCGAAGGCGGCGGTGGAGGTTGTGGTGCTGAGCGCGCGCGCCAGCGCCGTCTTGCCGCTGTTGATGTGGCCCAGGACGCCCACGTTCACGTTCACCCGCCGGCCCGCCATGCCGCCGCTGCTGTCAGCCCGCTAAGCAGCCCCCGCCGCCCGCGCCCCGCTCGCGCGTTCCGGCGCCGAAGCTTCCGGCCGCGCGGTCAGTCCGCCGAGCCGGAGCCAGGCGCCGGGGCCGACTTCCGTCCGTCCTCGCGTTCGTTTGTTCGTTTCCACGGGCTCTAGCTGAGCGCCCTCTGGGCACCCGGCGCCTTCTGTCCACCGCGCGGGGACAGGTCGCTCTCCCCGCAGGACATGGGGGACCCGGAAGGGGAGGGAACAATAACCGGGAGTAAAGACGGAACCAGACCACTACGGACCCCGGGAAGCCCTGGGGAAATACCGCAGCGGTAGAAGGACCAGGCCTGGGGCAGGGAGGGCGGGCCGCGAAGCTGAGCCCGTCCTGCCGAAGAGCCAGTGCGGGGAAACCTGGGAAGGCTGCTTGGAGAATCTCGGACCCGGGCAGTCAGCCTGGCCTCAGGGGGCTGCCAAACTGTACGCAGAAGGTCGAGTGAGTGCGTGCGTGCTGGGGAAGGCCTGCAACGCTCATTCTCTTGAAATGTCACCCACAGAAAAGGTGTCGCCTACGGGCAACAACACGGATCACAAATTTAAAGGTCTGCCCTGCCCAGGCAGGTGACTCGCCAGAGAGTAATCAGCAGGGTTTAAGGTGCCCGGGGTGGTGGAGACTGCGGAGGTGGAGAGCACATGTCCTGTGGCGACAGATGGGGAGCCACGGCTCAGCCTTGGCCAAGTGACACCAGGCGGGAATGCTAGCCCAACATTGCCCCATCTTTCCGCTTTTCAAGAGATTAGAGTGTTTCTATGTGAAATCTGAGAGACATTTTGCCTGGTGAGGCCGCCGAGACTTGGGGCTGCGGGCTGTAGCTGTTACCCGGCCCGACTTACACCTAAGCGCTCACCAGCAGCAGGGCTGGGGCTTTAACCCAGGTCTTACCGTCTCCAACTCCCACCACACCTGGCTCCAAGACAGGTGCTGCCCCAGCAAGTAGCCTGGAGTCTAGCCCTGTCTCCACAAGTGCCAAGGAGACAGCAAGCTCTGAGTTGTCTGAAAAGTCAGCCAGATTCAGACTGTATCTTGGGGTCAGCTGTGCCCCTGCACCAAGCAGAGAAATACAGACCTCTGCCTAGGCAGGTGTGAGTCATAAGCTCACTCCAAGAGCCAGGGAGAGTGTGAGGGACACCCTGTAGGAACTGGAGCCCTGTTGCCAGCAAAATGCAGGTCACATCACGCCCCCTCCTTTGTCCTTTGTCCCTATCCTGGCTTCTACCCCAGTGAGGTGAGTTTGCTTTAGACCAGGCTGGTGCCCTGGTGCTCTCCCCTGTCCCAGCAGGCTGAGGACCCCTTACACATCTTTGCTTGCCCTCGGCCTGGCACATCAAAGGCTCCATAACTGTTTCTTGAGTGGACCCACCTCCAAACCTCCAGCCCACAAAGACACGATCCTCTGCAGCAGACTCCTGGGTCCCAGCCTGGGTTCCAAGGCTGGACCTGGTCCCTGGGAAATGATTGACAGGGAACGTCCCGCAGAACTGCGATTATTTGGGATTTGTTCTTAATGTTAATGCGATGCTGGTTCCTTTCTGTTTCTTTAATGCCATTTTGTACGAAGGTAGTTCAAAGTTCTTTACGAACAGCTAGTAATTAATTCAACTTCATTAAGGCCAATTAATCCAGGATTAATTATAAATTTGCTCAGAGGAAGTTATTATACTTTGCTCTTTGAGTTTGGCTTTAAAGATTCTTACAGGAGTAAAATGGAAATTTCCCTTTTCTCTGAGTAAAATGGAAATTTCCCTTTTCCCTTTTCTTGCCAGTGATTGTGTTAACCACGTATCTTCCTCGACATGTCCCATACTAACCTCAGATGAGGTTGTCACCCAGGCCACCACTGTGCTCCATGGCACTCGCAGTACTGAACAGATCTGCTAATGCCCTGTTAGCTGCAGGGTGGGAGCTGATGTCCTGGCAAGAACTGGCCCCACACAGGTTCAAATCACGGCCCTACCTCGTGTTGGCTGTGTGCCTGGGAGCACACCTTCCACCTGGACATGGATACAAACTCTTTAAGGTCTACAGTGGTCGGCGTCCCCTCCCTCTTCTTCTGTAAGACTCCTCAACTCTCCTTGGAGGTATCACACTCCTCTCCTCCAGGTCATGATGGGGGCTGACTGAACGATAGCTCTAGGGGTGGGCCTGAGACTCAGGTCCATTCCAGTAGCCATGACCGTTGGTTTGGCAGTGAGCGTGTGACCCAAGTTAGCACAATCGGAGAAAACCCTGGAATTTTTTCCAGGACAGGCAATAGAAAAGTGTGCTCTCTGATATTGGACTAAAACCTGGGGAAATCAGTCTGGGCCCTAATGGGACCCCTGGAGGGAAGCCTGGCCGCAGCAGAACAGTGGCCTCCAAAGATGTCAGTGTCCTGGAACCTGTGATGGTGTTGCCCTCCATGGTAACGAGACTTGGCAGGTGTGATTCAGTTAAGGATCTTGCGATAGCGGGGATGGGGGAGGTGGGGAGCTCACCCTGGATTATCCTGCGGGCCTGATGTAGTCACCAGGGTCATTATAGGAGGGAGGCGGGAGGATCAGAACCAGAGATGGCGTCATGAGAAGACGCTGCTGGCCGTTACTGTTTTTAAAGGCAGAAGCAGAACATAAGTCCAGGAAGGTGGGCAGCCTGTAGAAGCTGGAAAAACCCAGACTGTGGGTGCTCCCCCAGGGCCTCCAGACAGGAACGCAGCCCTGCCCACACCTTGATTTTAGCCCAGTGAGGCCCATTTTGGATACTGGCCTGCAGAACTGTAAGAGAATACCTATGTGTTGTGTTATGCCATTAAGTCTGTAGCAATTTGTTACTGCAGCCATAGGAAACTAATACAAACATTTACTTGGGAGTGTGGAGTCTCTTCCCATTTATTAAATCAGTGAAGGGTTCCTAACTCCCTCCCACCTGGTCAGAGAATCAGAGTCTGACAGCTAAGACCTACACTGGAAATAGCCTCACAGCCTGTCCTCTGGTCAGAACTGCTGCTTTAGCCCAGGCTGCCCTGACCTCTGACCCCATTGCCATGTGACGCCAGTGGGACGCCAGTGGGACAATGGTCCAGATGGAGCCCTGGGGACCTGCAGGCTCCAGCTGCTTTCTCGGCATCTGCTGCCGGGTTTTCCCACCGCAGTGGGATGTGCCTGCTGAGACGGACGGAAACTGTTCCCTAGCAGAGAAGGTTGCAATGGGAGGCACAGGCCTCACCCTGGCTAACCTGACCCCGTCCCCAGCCCCACTTCCTGCCTCGGGCTCCAAAGCAATTCCAGTGAGTGCCCTCGGGTACTGTTTCCATTTGAAAAGCATGACAAAATTACCACGAAGGGCAGGACACACACAGAGCAGGCAGATATCCAAGGGAGAAATAGCCCATGTCTTTCTGTTCCAAAGCTCTGATGCCATTTTCTGTGCCCCTCCCAGTGCTTGAGCCCATTGTAAAAGATCTCACTGAATTCTTTTAATAAACCTAGGAGGTGCTGTTATCGCTACTTTACAGCAGAGGGAAGAGGGCCAGGAGAGGTGACTTGCTCAGGCCCTCTGTTCCCTGCCAGCTGATCCTTGTTTTATGTCAGGTTTTTTCCAACCTCAGTGATATGAACCAACTTCATAATTTATGCAATATCCAGGTACCACCTACAATTTCATATTTTTCTTTAAGTTTGACTTAAATAAATAAAAGTATCCCCCTTACACAGAAAAACATTATCACTTGCCATAAATAGCTGGGAACCACAACAACCTCAGAATCAGGATCTTTAATAAAAAGAGAGATTAGCAAGCGTTAGAAAGGGGTTAAAGTCACACTCCGCCCCCTAAGACTCACTAAATTAGAATTAAAAAGGCAATAATGTTCTCACTATGTGGATCAACTTTATTTAATTTTATGTCTTTGTACCACCTCTAAGGTGTCCCTTCTGTCCCCAGAAATCAGCCTGGGGCTGAAATAACAAGCATGCCAATTAGGTTGGCAACAATCAGAAAGGGGGGTGAGAATGTGGGAATATAAGACCAGGGACTAAGCCAATTAGCTTAAAAAGGGGACTCCTTCAACAGGGACTTTCTTTGATTTTGATTCTGATTGGTTTGGATCTTGGGGATCATGGCTCTGAAGTGCACCCCAGACACTGGGAATTATCCTGCTTGTAATCATCGTAATAATCTTAGTAGTGCATTATATTCTCTCAAGAGCTTTAAGTGCATGTTTGCAGCCACTAAGCACCAAGCAAATGATCTCCCTACGACTGAAACATCAGAAAAAGAACAAAAGAAAGACTGACAAAGAACGTGAACCCAACATCATAACCTGTGAGCACCACACAGAGGGTCAGCAGAAGCTGCAAGGCCTCCAGAGTGGTAGCTGGGAATAACACTAATGCCTTAAATTTGTATTGCATCCCTCAGGCTGAGAGACTGGTCAAAAGGAGGAAATTGTTAAAACTAAGACAATGGGCCCAAAATGCAGTGGCTTATGCTAAGCCTCAAGTCACCAAATCAAGACTTAGTTACTGGACTTCCCTGGCAGTCCAGTGGTTAAGACTCCGCGCTTCCACTGCAGGGGACGCAGGTTTGATCCCTGGTTGGGGAACTAAGATCCCACATGCCATGTGGCATGGCCAAAAGAATTAAGTTTCAGCTCTTTCCCCTTTGAATGGTCGTGGCACCCTTGCTGATATACTGAGGGTTTATTTCTGGGCTCTCTATTCTATTCCATTAGTCTATATGTCTATCCTTGTGCCAGTGCCACGCTGTTTGATTACTGCAGACCATTATTAAATGTCCTGTTAGTTAGGATACACTCTCAGCACTCAGCTGAGCCTGGAGACCATGACAATGTGTGGCTCCATGGGGCCCCTGGGTCATTGCCCCCCTCCACATGCAGCAGCCTTCTCAAGATGTTGGAGAAGGCAGAGACAGGCTTGACCTGGGCTTGTGGGCTCAAAGGTCAGGTGTGAAAGAAGTCAAAGCAAGGAGCAAGCAGAAGCACTGGGAACCAGTGGCTGAGATGCTCAAGCTTGGACTGGAGAAAAGAGGGGTCAAGGCACTGGAGGTGAAAGAGCAAGGCTCATGGGAGTGAGAGTGAGAGAGCAGGCAGGTCTGGGGTTGTCACACAGCACAAGCTGGGATACAACTGTCCACTCCATTCCTTGTATGTGTGTCACTGCACAAACCCATGGGTGGAACCCTAACTCAAGTTATTTTAAGCCCCAATGTCAGTGCCATTTACACTGCCAAGTAGGGCAAAGCTGGATCTGGGAACGTAGAGGATTTCATCAGGAATCTGCCAGCTTTCCTTTCCTTTGTGCTGGCTTCATTCTCAGACAGAGTCTTCCCATGAAGTGGCAAAGATGACCTGGAAACCTAGGACCCAAGTCTCTTTCCCGATATTTCCAGTAAAAGTGCAGGTCTGAGTGTCATTGCACTGTCCGCTCACATCTCTGAACCAATCACCATTCTGGGGAGGAGGGGATACTTTGATAGGCCAGGCCAGGGTCCCGTGTCCATTCCTGAAATAAAGCTGGGGGTGGGGTCAACCCATCTAAACCACCTAGATGCCAAGTGGGGGAAGGGTGGTTCTCTACAGAAAATTACAGTGAAGGTGGCCAGAAGAGGTAGGAAGGGTGCTGGGCGGGCATAATAACCCCTGTCCACTGCTATTGGCCTCACCTACCTTCACGCACCTTGTACACTTTGGACACTGGCCTGCCGCATCGTCTTCTGTTGAAATGAAAGGAACTGCCTGGCTCTGCAGCCAGGCCCAGCTTCTTTGCACACTGGACCTGGGGTCTAGGCCTGGGAAAGGCATTTGCTCAATTTGTGATCTTGGACAAACTCCATCCCCTTTTAGGGCCTCAGTTTCCTCACCTGTAAAAAGAGAATGTTAGGCTGGATCAGATGTTTGAACTGTTGTTTAGCAGGAAAAAAATGTAACAGCTCTGGTGGAGGGGGAGGTGGGGGCCAAAAGGTTCCATTCACTGACAGAAACCATTATCAAGTCCCATAAGATCCGCTGTGTAAAATACCTGCAGCAAAACTGCATGATTTTGTGTGTATGTGAGGGTCCAGAACCCTACTGAATTTATAAGAAGCCTTAATTGTGAGCCAGGCTGTGTGCCAGACACTGGGGTTAAAATGATGAACAACACAGACGTGGTCTACACTTTCATAATGCCTGCCATTTAGTGGGAGAGACTAACATTGACCTGACAGTCTTGCAAGTAATCAGAAACCTAGACTCAAAAGTTATGATGGAGAAGTACAAGGAGATGTGAGAGTCAGGAGCTCCTGCACCTGGATTTGACTTCAGGTCTGTCTCAACCCTAATGCAAGCTCCCCTGAGCTCTGGGCCAGTCCCTCCCTTTCTCCGGACCTGAGTCCACTCAGGTGTGAAATGGTGACATACCGTCTGCTTCCGAGGATGTTATCCTTCTGTCAGGGATCGGTCCAGGCGTTACCACGTCATGGCGCCTTCCTTGGCTCTCCAGCTTTTCCAGATGGCCCTGCTCTGGGCTTGCACACCACGTGGGGGTACCTACTTTGGCACACCTCATGTTGCAAGTTTCCCAACTAAGGACTGAGCTTGTCAAGGCTGGAGATTTTGTATTTTATGTGTGCATCCTAGTGCATGGTACTGTCTGGCTCACAGCAGGTGCTAACAAATGTTTGTGGAATGACTGGGTGGATGGGAAGAGTACACTTTTGGGGGGAGTGTTAATATCATCATGGAACCGGACAGGACACGGCCACTGGCTAATTGTCTCATCTGAGGTCGTGGGATGGGATGAGGTTTACATCGGCTGCAAAGCCTGAAGTCCTCAGGTGGAGTTCCTACTCTTCTGATTACTTGCTGTGCGTTCTTCATAAGTTATTGGGCCTCTTTTAGCCCGCATCTTTATCTGCATTAGGAATTACACTAAACGTCATCCACAGCCAACTTACTCTAAGTAAAGGGAGGGGTGGAGGCGAGGAGGAGAGGAGGAGGACAACCCCAAGGAGGATGCCGAGCACAGCCTCCCCAGGGAGATGAAAGGCGTGGGAGTCAGAAAACGGCTTAGTGGGCACAAGTCGAAGCTTAAGTTCTAAACCTGTCTCTTCATCTCCAACACCGAGGTCGAACTTGATCTCCGCAAAAGGGTATCCATTCGAATGCGGTCACGGACGCGAAGGCGCCGTGAAGAGCGGGACTCGGGCCCTCACTGCGGCGCAGCGGCCCACCCGGGCAGGAAGCGCCGGCTGCGGGGGAAGCCAACCTCGGGACACAGCCGGAAGCGGGTAGGCGGAGCCTTCCCGGCAGCCGCGACGGGCAAAGCCAGGAGCCAATGGGGCGCTGAGGAGTTCCCGCCGCGGCCAATGGGGAGCTGACCGAGGCGGGGCCGGGCCAGCCGCCTGGTAACGGCCGCGTGGTAACCGGCTGCGCGCTGCTAGGGCTGAGCGGGCGCTCGGGCTCCAGGTGCGCAGGATGAAGATCGAGGAGGTGAAGAGCACCACCAAGACGCAGCGCATCGCCTCCCACAGCCACGTGAAGGGGCTGGGGCTGGACGAGAGCGGCCTGGCCAAGCAGGCGGCCTCGGGGCTCGTGGGCCAGGAGAACGCGCGCGAGGTGTGGCGGCGGGGCGGGAGCTGAGGCGGGGGGACTGAACTGAGGGGGAGACTGAGGCGCGGACGGGGCTGAGGTGGGCCCGGGCTGCGCGGACCTGGGGGTGGGGCGTGGGGAGGACGTCCCGGGGCGCGGCGACGACCCCGCGGCCTCGCTCCTGGCCGCGAGTCCTGACTGACCGCCATTCCTGACTGACCGCCGCTCGGGGCCAGGCCGCCCGCGCGGCACGGGGGTCGGCGGGGAGAAGATGGGCCAGGTCCCTGCTCTCTGGGAGCTCGCGTTTCAGACACAGACATTTAAACCGCTGAACAGAAGAGCCGTTATTAGACTTCGGGGATCAGTTCCTGGGGGGCTCTGCGGGCCCGGGCACGGCGTTTGAGTTGCTGTGAGCGCAGTGAGAGGCTCTGGGACTTTTATAGTCGGGAGGTGATCCGCCTGAGCAGGTGGCAGCTACAGAGGCCTTTCTGAACATTCCCGTTAAGCCCACTTCTGCTAAGTGATGCTGGTGCCAAGTGCCTTCGGCCGCATTATCATCCCAAAACTCTTCAGGCTCGTTGTGTGTGTATTTTTTTTTTTTTTTTTGATGAAAACATTGAGGGTGGGAAAGGTCACTTCACCCATCCTCTTGCCGCCCAGTTTAGTAATAGTCATGCTGGAGTTTGTGCCTGTGTGCCCCTGACTCCTGAAGCAGCGCGCTCTGTGTTAGGACCGCCCCCTCGGGCCCCCTTCAGCCCTAACTTCAGCCCATTTTGCCCCTCTGCCCCTGCGGTGGCTCGGCAGCTACAGAACTCCTGGGTAAGACTCTTGCCTCCTAGCCTGATTGTGCTAATAGAAGGGGCCAAAGAGAAGCCTCTGGTTTCCATTTGGAACATCAGGTTTCCAGAGAGCAAATAGTGACAGGGCCAAGGTGACTTTGAAATTTCTCCTTATCCAGCTTCCGCTCTCGGAGGGCCTGCAGCCCCGTTTCCATTGTTTCATTGTTCATCACCGCCCCTGTGCCTGCCCCTCCTCCGCTTTGTTATGACACTTTTCAGACATACCGGAAAGGTGAAAGACTTGTGTAGTGCGCACCTGTGTGCCTGAATTCTACAAGTAACATTTTACTCTGTTGCTTTGTCTTCTGTCTGCTCATTTATCCATCGAACAATCTGCTTTTGCCTTTCAAAGTAAGTTGTAGACATTAGCCTACTTTACCATTAACCCATTAGCCTTTGTGCCACTGTGCTGTGAACTCTGTTTTCAGATGAGGAAACTGTGGCTCCTAGAGGTTAGGTTATGGATCTGTGGTACTCGGCTGGTAATTGGTAGAGCCAGGATTTAAACCTAAGTCTGCCTGACTCCAGAACCCATAGTCTTGACTCTGACGCTGTGTGCCTCCATATGAATGTGAGCTTCCCAAGGATAGAGGCCGGGTAGCATCATACACCCAGAACTTGACTCGTTATAGGGACTCAGGAGTTACGTACTGAATTATTAGGCATCCCGCCTCTGCCACCAGGTCCTTGTCTGAGTCTGGTCGCATCAGCAGCCTGTCCTCATCTGAACGGTGAGAGTTAGACGAGGCCATCTCTACAGGCCCTTCCAGTTCATACTTCTTAAATTTTGGAATTCACTGGACATGTCTCACTGGAGAGAAGGAGCCTAAATGGAAGAAGATTAAATGCAAGGGGAAGTGTGTGAGTAAGGGTACGTAGCCAAGGTTGGCAAAGGCTCTTCTACCTCTGAGTTGCCCACAGAGTTCCAGTGCTGTGGATTATGAAATCAGAGGTTACTGTGGAAAGACCATAATGGCTCTTAGAGATGCAGCGTCTGAAGAATATCTTCTAGGCTCTGTTAAGTGCACTGTGCTTTTCCAGCTGAGCCAGAAATGGAGTAGGGCACGTCCACATGCATTCCTTGAACCCACGTTTTTGAGGGGCTGTCTAAGTGTGGGACCAAGGTACGTCTCCACAGTCCATGGGGAAAGTGGGAGAGGAGATAAGATGTGCTCACAAGACCCTGCCCACGAGGTACCACCCAGGTAGAGGAGCTGTGGGCCTGCCCTGAGGCAAGGACGGCGCACCTTGGAGACAGTTGTGCTTTCGGTTTTTAGATCAGTGTGAGAAACCTTGAGATTAGGTGTTTAAGGAGTGTGACTTTCTCAGCCTTACTCCTTTAGAGTTAAATATTGTAAAATACATAAAACCAGGAACGCATTTATGGAATTTCTAAACACACACGTATCAATATGCAGTCAACTCTTGAACAACATGGGTTTGAACGGCATGGGTCCACCTATTCACAGATTTCTTTCAATAAATACATATTAGGGTGCTACATGACCCCCAGTTGGTTGAATCCAGGGCTGCTGAACCACAGATATGGAGGGCTGACTGTATAGTTACGTGCTGATTTTCGCCTGCGTGGAGGTTGGGCGCCCCTAACTTCAAGGGTTCATGGGTCAACTGTATATATGTGTATGTGTATGCGAAATACATGCTGTATGTATATAATGTCCATACCTGTCTATATATAATATAGATGCTGTAAATGGCTTAATACTCAGAATATTTAAAATATACGAACGAACAAGTAATTTAATCTTGAGGATTTGAAGGGCATTCCTTGGATCTTAGGATGCTGTAGGTTAAACCTCACGTGTGGCATTTGCTTACAGCATTCTGGGATAGTTAACTGATGGCCAACTAGTAGAATATGTCATTGATTCTTAGCCCTTAGTGGGTTAATTTGGGAATGTGATGAAAGCTGTGACCCCCTCCCTGGAAGAATGCACATTTGAACATATACACACAGTCTTGTTTCCAATTTTGAGGTGTGTGGGCCCCTGGAGTATATGCCACTGCTCCCATTTGTACCCCTCCTGTCCGTT